GCCCCAAAGGCCCTCAGGGAAACCTTGCAATGCTTTACAGCTGACTCTGCTGAGTAGCCTCAATCAGAGGCTAGGTTAGCACTCCTTAGATCCAAGAGCCAGTGTACCCAGTGGTCAGAGTAGGACCATCCAATTACAACTCCTCAGACCCATAAGGGACACACTCAGGGGGCAGACTCAGGGAGCACCAAAGCCCCACTGAAGCAAGTCTTGCCCCATAAGGTGTCTTCAGCACAGAAGTTCTCCCACGGTAGGCACAGCTGATTCTCACAGCCAATTGGCCTGGAGGTCAAATCCTCCCAGTGTTACCTACAACAATCAAGGCTTAACTACAACAAGACTGTGCACAAAGCCCACAAGGGGGTGCACCAAGAGTGTCTACCTCAGGTAATTGGGGAGGCTGAGCCACTGGGCCCTATAGGACACTTAGCACAGAAAGCCACTCTATCGACACAGTGAAGCATAAAAAATGCCGAGACAAAGAAACAGGACACAAATGACAGAAATGGAGGAAAGCAAATACTGGATATAGAGTTCAAAACCACACTTTTAAGGTTCTTCAAGAACTTTCTAGAAACCGCCGATAAATGTAGTGAGACCCTCAAGAATTCTAGTGAGACCCTCGATGTTGTGATAAAGGACCAACTAGAAATTAAGCATACACTGACTGAAATAAAGAATATTATACAGACTCCCAACAGCAGACCAGAGGATCGCAAGAATCAAGTCAATGATTTGAAATATGAAGAAGCAAAAAACTCCCAACCGGAAAAGCAAAATGAAAAAAGAATCCAAAAATACGAAGATAGTGTAAGGAGCCTCTGGGACAGCTTCAAGTGTACCAACATCCTAATTATAGGGGTGCCAGAAGAAGAGAGAGAGCAAGATATTGAAAACCTATTTGAAGAATTAATGATAGAAAACTTTCCCTACCTGGTGAAAGAAATAGGCTTACAAGTCCAGGAAGCACAGAGAACCCCAAACAAAAGGAATCCAAAGAGGACCACACCAAGACACATCATAATTAAAATGCTGAGAGTAAAAGACAAAGAGAAAATCCTAAAAGCAGCAAGAGAAAGAAAGTCAGTTACCTACAAGGGAGTACCCATACGACTGTCAGCTGATTTCTCAACAGAAACTTTGCAGGCCAGAAGGGAGTGGCAAGAAATATTTAAAGTGATGAATGCCAAGAACCTACAACCAAGATTACTTTATCCAGCAAAGCTAGCATTCAGAATTGAAGGTCAGATAAAGAGCTTCACAGATAAGGAAAAGCTAAAGGAGTTCATCACCACCAAACCAGTATTATATGAAATGCTGAAAGGTATCCTTTAAGAAGAGGAAGAAGAAGAAAAAGGTAAAGAAACAAATTATGAACAACAAATACACATCTATCAACAAGTGAATCTAAAAATCAAGTGAATAAATAATCTGATGTACAGAATGAACTGGTGATTATAATAGAATCAGGGACATAGAAAGGGAATGGACTGACTTTTCTTGGGGGGGGAAAGGGGTGTGGGGGGTGCGGGAAGAGATTGGACAATAATCATGCACCTATGGATGAGGACAGTGGGTGGGGAGTGAGGGCGGAGGGTGGGGTGGGAACTGGGTAGAGGAGAGTTATGGGGGGGAAAAAGAGGAACCAATGTAATAATCTGAACAATAAAGATTTAATTAAAAAAATAAAGTAACCATTTAAAAAAATAAAATAAAATACAAGGGCATAAATAACTGTACATGGGGAGAAGGGCCAGGCTAAACACAGAGTGGCCCGTCGTCGCCTCCTGGTGGTCCCTCCTAGAGGTGCAATCAGAAGAAGGATCCATCCTCACCCACTGGCCAGGCCTGACATTGCAGATCTTCTCTCCAAGGGACCAGGGACAACCCGGTTCTCCATGATCCGGGGAAGGGTGGGCTCAAAGGAGACAAGAGGTTCCACTCAGTGCAGGCTGCTACTCGGTAGCAAGTCAAGTAAAGGAGAAGGAGATGGGGAAATAAGGTGGGAGACTTGGGGCTATAATTTCCCACCATCTCCCGTCAGATAATGGAGAGTTGGCTCCATCCTGCAATTCTCGGCAGCACCTTTAACTTCTCCTGTGGGCTGTTGGAGCTCTGGGATCGCTAGGCCGTCCCGCTGCCCCATCCTTTTTCATCTTGTAGGGAAACACAGCACTGAAGATGTCTTCATGATAGCGCTTCTGGCTCTTTAAGGGACAAGGATCCCCGGGTCAGTCCTGCTGGTCCAGCCACCTCTCGTTCATCAGGTCCAGGCTAGAATGAGCTCCTGGGGTTCCCCAGCTTCCCCATCACTCCTACACCCATGAGCCGTTTCTCTTCCCAATTGTCATGCTTGGATCATGCTTGAACCTCACTTAGAATCTTTAACTCCTCCTCTGCCTGCTCAGGCGGGGACCTCCTAAACATCTTTCCAGGCTTTATGGTGGACAGAACAGCTGGCCTAGTGCTCTTCCCACAGGAAGCTCCCGGAAATGTGGGCTGTGATATATACACGTGTGGTGAATGCTACATACTTTCTCCAAGTTTAGAAGCAGCGCCACTCTGCACAGGAGCATATTAGAGGCTCTGAAAGTCTTATGGTAAAGCAGCG